AAGATCAAAATTTTGATTTAAACAATTTTTAAAGAATATACCAAGGTTCTCTGGCATGCAGCTCCATGTTACACACCAGACCCCATGCAAAGTCCAAGGAATGTGTGTTTAAGCTTCTTTAATACAAACAGCAACTCTGTGTGCTGAAAACACTATGGAGTTTCCCAGTCCAAGAATCCTCCACTCAATTTGCTATTTAACTTCCATCTTCCTCTCCTGCCATTATTTGCATATTTCACATCAGTGCAAGAGAAACTCAAACCATAACAAGTCTTTTTTAATTTCTTGGGGCAAATTCACACTAAGATTTTAATCACTCTCTGCCTTTAAGCCAGCATGCTATTTCCAGTTCCAAGTAACTACTGGAGAATACTCTAGGAACTGTTATTTTAAGTCAGAGTCACAGAGTCCAAACAGCTGAAAGACAGCTTTCCAGTGAACATTGGTAGATTCCATCATCAACAGAAATGTATTATTCAGATTTTCACAAGCCATGCCAGACAGCCAGTTAATGGCTTTTAACTATTTACTGAGATCCTCTGCTTTAGCCTGTACCCATTTCCCTTTCTTGCTCACAGAGTCTACTTTAAACCAATATACAGTAAGGTATCACTATATTGGGCCTTCTCCTGCTGTCCAATAGATGAAGCAGGACAGAGCAGGACACAAGAGTCATTGTGCCATCATCTCATTTTTGGATTAAATTTAGAAATTATATAAAAGAGAGAGAAAGAAATGGAGAAGTGGTAATTCCATGTCTTGTCCTGAGATATGTCTACTAATGTTTCACTAGCCAACAAAGCAGGGCTGGGGAACCTATGGCCCACTAGACATTTTGGTCTATGATTCCTATAATCTTTTATCACTGGCTATGCTGGCTGGAACTTCTCAAAGTCACAGACCAAAACATCAGAAGGGCTAAAAGTTCCACAGCCCTGCAATAAAGCAAAGGGGAACAGAACAGGGATGTATAGCATCATTTGGACATCATATCAACTGCTGGACTAAACCTAGAAATTATCAAGGGAAAAGATGGAATCCCTTTTGTACCTAGACATGCTTCTAAATGCACAGCATTCACTCATATCCACTCATTCACTCCACAATGAAAACTACTTTTCAAATTTCCAGAAGCTGTGAGCAGATTTATGTTTGTGTCAAAGTATATGGGGTGGCTGTTTATTTTGTAGATGCAACAACTATTCCAGGGGTCCCAAAACTTTTTAAGCTAGGGGCCAGGTCACTGTCCCTCAGACTATTGGAGGGACGAAGTAAAAAAATAAATTTAAAATAAAAAAAATTTAAAAAAACAAAATAAATATATAAATAAATAATTCCTACATACACTGCACACATCATATTTTGAAGTAAAAAAACATCCTGCTGAGTAACCTTAGGTGAGTCACACTGTCTCAGCCTCAGAAGGCGGCAATGGCAAACCCTCACTGAAGAAATTTTGCCAAGAAACCCCACTACCAGGAAGCAACTTGAAAAGCAACAAACAAACAAGTGCAGAGCCATCCTGCTGAGTAGGGTTGCCATACGTCGGAAACACTTGAAGCCACACAACAACAAGGGAGGCAATAGCAATAGCAACTCCCTCCCCCCCCAAACCAACCTCTGGGCTTTGGGCTCTGGGCTCTCTCCTCTCTCTACTCCCACGTGCAAAGCAAAGCAGCTTCATTTATATACTGCTTCATATCGCGCATGG